GTGAAATGCACCTGCACACTCTAAGCAGGAACCTGATGAACTCCAGCTAAGGTAATGTAGATTTTCACAAACTTTTCTGACTGATCCCATCCATAATTACAGATCTTCACTGTGTATCCTGTTGTGATGGGAGCAACCACAGCAGCCGGTTTTTCATTGTCAAGAAGTTCTGGTTTCTCCTGTGATTTTTGTTGCATCTTATTCTTTATTTCTGTTTCAATCTTGGATTTTTCAACTGTCGGGGTATCACGTACTCTCTTCTTAGTAGCCTTTTCCAATAATGCCTTTACCTCTTCTAGATCACTCTGTAACTCCTCCAGAGCCGAAGCCATGGTCGGGCGGGGATGGACTTAAAGCCCAAGCTGCAGGAGAGCAAACAATGACAGGAATTGCAGTAGTCCCTGTGGATGTGGACCTCAGCAGCGCTAGCTGCGGGCCAGCAGCTGTGCGAGTGCAGGAACCGCGGCCCACCCTCTGCACACAGTGAATACTCTGCAATTTTGGAGGAAAATATTTCTACCATGAACACATACTATTAAATCTAGGGCATGCTGAGTGTGTGTATGGACGTGTGGGTGGAGGGAGGAACTTAATTCAACTCCATATTTGCCCCAGAATGATTACATGACCAATGTTTAACCAATTAGAACACTCCATCCCCCTGGTCAAACTAACAGATATGAACAGATGATGAGAACCAGGATATCTAGAATCTTTCCTGGGTCTTTTTTCTGAATTGCTATGTTAGATAAAGCATCTTTTTTTTTTCTTTTATAGTTATTAAACAGGTGTGATGTGAATATTGAGTGGGTATATCTTTATTACCCTTATTCTGTGTCCTATCTTTTATAGATCTCAAGTGATAATGGCTCATATTTCTAGGAAGCCTAAGGGGAAGTATTTTTGGATCTAGGGACACAAACAACATCATATAGATAATGTTATCTTTATTTCTTGGCTCTTCCTTCTATGTTGGCCTCTTTCTCAAGCAAGTTGTTTCCATGAAAGTAACAGTTTGATAAGAGAGGCCTATGGTGCTTAAACTGTTTGCACAGTTTTTACTGAATACCTCCTTTTTTAAATGTACTTGTTATAGGGTCTCACTACGCAGCTCCAACTCATAGTGATTCTCTTGTTTTCAGCCTCCCCAGTGTTGGGATTACAGGTGTGTGCCACCACACTTGGCCTTGGTGACCAGTTTAGTGAGCCTGAGGGCTGAGCCAGCATGGCATGTAGTGCCAGAAATAGAACCTTAAGTCACTGTGCTTGCCTAAGCAGGCACTTAGTCTGCTGAGCTATCTCACCAGCTCATTACCTCTTTCTTTCTTAGGAATTTTGACATGTGCGAGGCAGAGGGTGTGTATATGACCAGTCCTTTTTTTTTTTTTTTCATGACCAGTCCTTAATAAAAAATCCTGGGCACTGTGTCCCTAATCAGCTTCCATACCAGAAAAAAAAAGTTTGTGTTATGACTTATATCTAGCTATCCCCCGAAAGCTTCATGTAGTCATAGGAGGAGTCATATCCAATGATAACAGAGTAAGTTGCAGGAAAGGACATGCACAGTAGACACAACTGCTAGGACAGTACCCTGTCAATCATGCTCTGAAAGACCCAGTGGTAGGCACTATAGACCTGGTGCAACATTTTAAATTCTTAAACTCAACACACAGTGCTTGCACCATTTTCCTTTCTACTGGTGTGTGCCTGCTCACTCTGAGCATACCATTGCCTAATTAAACTTCATTACATTTTGCTACTTTTTTGTTACTATTGTATGCCATGTCCAACCCTTTCTTCATTGTGCATAAGAACCTAGAAACCTTCCCAGGATTTCATCACCAAGAGCAACAGAAGAATAACATCCAAGGTATTTAGAGTCTCACATTTTAACTTAGCATGACATGATAATAATTAATACAAATTATTCTTCTCTTAAAATCAGTAAAAAAAAAACACACAGGTAAAGTCAATGAGGTATTTCTACCTTTCTTAATAATTAAAGGATATATTAAAAACTTCTAACATGAGTTAGTGGTTATATAAGGATTAAAAATAAATAATATTAGATTGTAATTTGGTAGGAAAAATTTGTTCAGTTGCTCAAAGAATCTTTATCAAGCATGTATCATATGAAAGCTATGGATTATGTTCTATAAAACAAATACTACAAAAATACAGCATAAAACATATCAAATATGAGAAAAAAACCAGCTCAACAGCTCAAAGATCATATTTGAATATTTGTATGCAATGGTAGCTTTCTGCAGAAAGGTGAAACATAAAAAATAGTATTTGAGAATAGTTCTGGAAAATAAGCACAATTTATCAGTGTAGTCAATAGGTAACAAAGGAGGAAGCAGAGGTATATAAGAATAAAACAGTGAGAACCTGGTTTTAGGAATATCAATTGTGTATAAGACACATCATGTAGAAGACTACTGAGCAGCATCGAGAGATATATAAGATAGATATATAAGTTATTTAGAAATATTGTAGGCAGTCAGACAGGGCAGGGCCCTGAAAGGTCAATATAAATGACTATGGGGTCTACAGGTGCAGTCATTAAAAGCAAGACTTCAAGAAAAGAGGACCAGGGGGCCAGGGAGATAGCTTAGTAGAATAAGTGTTTGCCTGGCAAGTGCAAGGACCTGAGTTCCACAAAAAAAAAGAGAAAGAAAAGAGGACCAACTAGGACAAATAGCAGTGACTGATATTCTACATAGATATCAAGCACCTTGGGGGGGGAGGACCAAAACTCCCTTAACCCACTCTTCCAGAAAAGTCCTTGTCTGTCCATGTACACTTGCAATAATAATTGCTTCACAATTCGATCCCCATTTAATCAATATTACCTTAGCCTACTATACTTGTTGTAATCTTATTGGTTCCCAAAATTTGTCCCACTTCATACCCACTTTGGGACTTCCTACTGGATCAATATCATCTAAGCAACTATACTTGTAATCTTATTAGTTGACTATAGTTTTGTCTCACTTCAAACCCACCTCACCTCAAGGCTTTGCTCAATAAAATTCCCTTAAAAGCAGGGTGAGAGAGCAACCCACTTCCCAGGCACTTCTATCTCTCTTAGACAGAAGCTTTCCTATTTTAAATAAATTCTTCCTACTCTTAACCTCCATTGTTCCTAGAATTCATACCTCAATTTTAGAGAACATGTGTGTCAGACATCTAGCAAATGAGAGTTTCTTTCTCATGTATCAGGAAAACAGTTGGAAATCCATCATATAAAATAATAAAGATAATGAGAATCTGAACTAAGACACTGATAATACAAATGGAAGGAGGGTGCTATGTGTCTAAATGTCCCCCCAAAATCTTGTGCAGCATAAGGTTTTTGCAGTAGTTTAATATAGTTTGGATGTAGGTTTTTGATTCATTTATGGTCCAAACTGGTGTTAAGGGTGTGAGTACTATAAGGGATAGAAAGAGGTTTGTACTTTCTTTCTCTCTCTCTCTATGCTTTTGCTGTCTTCTCTGCCATAAGCTGTTGTCCTTCTGCCATGTGCTACCTTGCCTTGGTGCCAGATGATTATGAACTGAAACCTCCACAAACTGTGAGCTGAATAAAACTTTTCTTCTTTAACACTGGGTGTCAGATATTTTTGTCTCAGCAATGAGAAAAGTAACTAAGAAGGGATAAGTGGAAGAGAAAGTCCAATTGTTGAACTAAAAGATCTGTTGTCCAGTTTGGGTGACAAAAAGAAAAATTATGACAAAAGTATATCAGTGAAAGAAAGTGTAATAAAAGTGGTAGAAGCATAAAAGGTGTATCAACAAGAAGTTAATACATTTAATAGGATTTTAAAAGGAAGTTATCTTCTAGCAGACAAGTCCAGAATTACAAAGTTATAAAATATGAAAACAATTCACAGTCAAATAGAGGAAGGAGAGAGATTTTCACAAAATATCCAATGGAACATATATCATTTCTAAAATTCAGATTTGTTTTGCTATGATCATACCTCTGCCTTGAGAAACCTTAAATTGAAGCAAACTAGAGGAACAAGCAACAATTTGCATAGCTATTCAAAGAACATGACTTAATGAAGAAATATTTACATACCCTGAATTTAATGTTTCTTTGGTATACAATATTATCCAACAACAGTTGTACTGGAATGATAATGCCATCAATCTCATAACTATATTGTCTGATGCCTTCTCATAATTCAATTCTTCTAGATCCTATCATAAAATAAAGAAAATAAAAGATTCATTAAATAGTTGTTTAAAAGTGTTATATTTCAAGAATCAAAGGTATATAAGTGATAGCTTGAGAACAGGCATAAGTATTTGTTCCTTTTCAAGGGAAAATTAAAATCGCACTGGAAAAAGTAGGGGAAAGCCTCTATAGGTGTAACATAACTAATGACAGCTTCAGGGAAAAAGGCTGATCAATTTCCTAATGTCCTAGCTATGAAGAAAGTAGACTACAGAGTGCCTGTCTTGGCAATGGCCTTCATGGACTGGACCTAGCTATTCCAAAGGCAATAGAAAATATATTTCAAACTGGACGGAGTAACCTGGATTATATGCTTGTGCAAGGGAGACGAGAAAGCAGTAGTTAATGGAATTCCTAGCTAGAAGTCTGCTTTTGCATTAATCTTAGTCAGCTGCTTCCAACAGGGTCTTGCTATACAGCTCATGATGGCCTTAGACTCACTATGTAGCCCAGGCCGGTCTCAAACTTACAGCAATCCTCCTGCCTCAGCTTCCCAAGTGCTGGGATTATAGATGTATGCTACCATGCCTGGCCAACACACTTTTTTGTTTAATTTATTTGGCACAGGGTATCACTGTGCAGCTCAGACTCCTTGCAATCTTCCTGTTTTCAGCCTCCCCATCACTAGGATTACAGGTGTGGGCCACCACCCCTGGTCTTGGTGGCCAGCTCAGCACGTCTGGGGTAGGGCCAGTGGGGCATGTGGTGCTGGGGATCAAACCCCGGCCCCTGTGCTTGCCTAAGCAGGCACTTAAGTCTGTTGAGCTATTTCACTTACACTAGTCATTTTTGATACAGTGAATAATTCAGAAAATGTCTTTCTAACAATATATAACTGGATTTAAAAATTCTGTGAAGTGGATAAATAATTAAGAACTTTAAGTATGTTAGACACAATATCTTTTTATCTAACAGAGCTGTGTATCTAATTATTTTTTTCATAGTCCTAGGGAATTAACCCAGGGCTTTTGTACAGCACCTTTATTCTCTCTCTCTCTCTCTCTCTCTCTCTCTCTCTCTCTCTCTCTCTCTCTCTTTTAATTTTGAGACAGGATCTCCTTAAGTGACTAAGTTGATCAGGCTGGGCTCGAACTTGCAATCCTTTTGCCTTAGCCTCCCAGGGCACTGGGATTGCATGTGTGTGCTACTACTCCAAGCTCATATAATTCTTATGTTGAAGGCTTTGCTCATCAGAGCAGACTGTACCTTTCCATATCCAATAATCTATACTCTGTGTCATCAAATGTAGTTTCTCCCTCCAACCATTAACCCATTAAATTAGTATCTTTGCAACTGGTACTCTATTTAAGCAAGCAGAAAAAAATTCAGCCAAAAATTTATATACTATAATTATACTGAGAATGTAATTGAAATATGTTAATATATAATATTAAAGATTCTATATTTACTTTGTCCTCTTAAGGCATGTTCAAGATGATAAAACATCAAAGACATTTGGTAGCAGTCATTTTCCAATGATAATTTTAGAACTTTGGCCTACTTAAAAAAGTTAGAGGAAATCATTAATAGGTTATAAACTCTCCATTGAAAAGATAGTAACAAATTATAGTTATATATATTCTTCAGTTTATATGTTTTTACTACATAGTTTTACCTGCAAAGTTACAGCAGTGTGTTCATCAATTGTCAGTACCACATAGCGCTCTGTACTTCCAAAGAGCTTCAGTGATGGGCAACAGCATCTCTCCACTAGTGTGATATTGTAGCTGTGAAATGCAGTATTTGGGGTGAAAAACTAAAATGGCTAAGAAAATTTCTTCAGGGAAAGATGCATTGTGCTCCTGTATTTTAATTGAATTATTGAACTTTTTCTTTCATTTTCCAATTTATCCTATTTTATAAATTTTAAGATGGAAATTAACATTTATTTAGTACATACAGAAAATTAGCTGAGGTGTGTGCTGCCTTAGGTTTTGTGATAAGTATTATTGTATGTAACACCATTACCAATGTCTTGACAAATTTAATCTAACTCTTTAAGTAAATCACAAACTCAAATACCGTTATGACACTAAACCATTATTTATCAGAATTTCATTTTGCTTAAAACTGGCCTGCTGTTTTTCTTGTGGAAGGATGCTGGGACCTGAACTTGGGTCTTTGCACTTGCTAACCACACCACCATCACTGAGCTATATCATCGGCCCCTGGCCTACATTTTAGCTACCTTTTCTTCTTTTTTTTCTTTTAATATATTTAGTACAGGGTCTATAGGGTCTCACTACATATTTTGGACTTGTAGTGATCCTCCTGTTTTCAGCCTCCCAAGTGTTGGGACTGTAGGCACATGCCACCACGCCTAGTGTCAATCCCGTCTCAGCACACTCCAGGGGTAGGACCAGCATGGCACACTGAGGCTTGAACCTCCTGTCCAGATCCCTGTGTCTGCCTAAGCAGGCCCTTTAATCCGCTGAGTGATCTGGCTGACCCTTAGTCAGCTTTTCTAAGTTTGTGGTTTCCTACAAGTGGCCCAGGTCTTAAAATATCAAAACAAAAGTATGGAACACTGATGTGTATTTTAACTGAAATTATAGGTTATCCTGTCCAAGTCGCCATATTCCTATGACACCTTGTAAGCTATGATTAAGAGGTTTCTCATTTTAAGACAATGTTGTTATAACCTTATAGCCAAAGATCTAAAAATTTGAGCATTCATTTAGAACTTCATAATGTTGTTTCCAGTATTATTTAACTAAACTTGATAACTCTAAGACATAAATATACAATTCACATAAAAATAACAAAATATTTGCATTTCTGGTAACGAAATATAAATAAAATATACAAGTAAAGAATAAATTTATTTTTGTCCAGAAAATTGGTAAATATTACCCAAAATATAATATTCAATAATTGAGAGTATAGCTAAGGAATAGAAATATACTATTCTATATTTAGTATAGAACAGTAACTCTCTGGAAAACTATTCTTATATGATATGACTCTAGGCTTCTTAGATTAGAGATAACAGTATTACATATAGAGCATAGTATTTAGCTTATCTATCTATCTAAAGTTACAAAATTAATCACTTACTTAGATTCTAACAGCTGAAGTATTTCTGGAGTATTAAGAAGTCCTTCAGATGCAAAAAACACATAAGGAATCTGGATTTCCAAAAGAAAGCCACCAAATTTATCCAGCACGGTGCTTCCTAAATAAAAAGAATATTGACAAATCTCTTTTCTCATACCTCAACTCTTTCTCTTTTTTTTTTTTTTTTACTAAACATGAAATTGACAAGTGTATGTTCAAACAGTTATAAAAAATAATTTTCACTGTAAGAAAGAAATCTGAATAAAGGAAGGACTGAACAAGAAAATAAAATAGCTAGATATGATGGCATATTTTTATAAACCTAGCTAGTTGGGAGGTTAAGCTTGGAGGATTATGACTTTGAGGTCCACCTGGGTGACTAAGAGCACTTGCCTAGCATGTTAAGGATCTAGATTCAATCCACAGTACCTCAGAATAAACAAATAAACAAACAAACAAATCATGTTATCCTCCTACTTAGAAATATTTAACTAATACTAAAACTTACTAAAGTTGAAACTACTACTAAAATCTTACTAAACTACTTGCTGACATTATTATATACTAAAAGATACTTAATATAAACTTTTCTATACATTTTCCTGCCTAAGTTCATCATACTTTAAAAAGAGTGGGGTAATAAGATCATTCTCCATCTAAAATGTCTAACACTGTGTAAATACAACTGATTTATACCAAAATTTTAAACTATGTGCAACAATTCATAGAAAAACATTTTATAGATCAATAGGAAAAAAATAGTCAAGTAATTTATAAAAGAATGTCTGTTCAACATCAAGTCACAATATCCGACCAACCCCAGGCCCTGCAAGTGTGGGGAAGAGCTTCTGCTTTGTCCTGCGCCCGCCCGCTGCTCCAAGCCCAGGCCCGCCGCCTAAGAAGCCTTTGCCCTTGTTATCAGGACCTCCCCCCGGTTGGCCAGACCCAGCACAGCCCGCCATCTGAGTGAGAACTTCTGCTGCGCTCTTAGAGTCTTCCAGACCCACCAAAACACAACACTGGTGAGTGTGTGGGAGAGCTGGGCTCTCTCACCCCTGCTCCTCATACCCCTCCAGACCCAGCTCAGACCTAGCATACAGGCTTGAGGTAAAACCCTGCAGCTAAAGTCCCTGCAGTGAGAGACTAAGGTCAAAACCACACAGCTAAATCCAGGAACAGATCATCCTACCAGAGGTGTACAGCAGGCCCACCTCCAAGGGCAACAACAGTAAGGAGCTGGGCACAGTAGCCTAACCCAAGCTAGGCACAACTGCATGAATTAGAACTTGGTATATCAGTACCTGAATTTCATTAAGTGATAACATAATTGCACCAAAGCTCTACACCAAAGGCCACAGGTCAGTGTTAAATGAAATGATAAAGACAAGGAGCAAAATGCAATCTCAGGTCTCAAGCCCACCCATA